GAGCTGCCATTGTCAATCAAAACACGATGGATAGTCCTGTTGGCCACCACAGCTCTTACCACCAAAGGGTCATCATGGGGATGTTGGCAGCCCTCTAGATTCGAATCTGAGAAAGTGATAGTTGTGTCTAGGCGTGGAGACTTAGACACAGTATATACTTCGGGAGCTTCTATGGCTCTAATTTTTCGCCAGTGGGCCTTTCTGGCAGAGCTGGACTCTCCTCCTCCGGCAAATCCTCCAGATATCACTATAATCTCCCCCATAGGTTGCAGGTGTGGCTCTGGTGCTTGACGCTAAGGGGTGGAGGTGGGAGAGCTCGATTTTGATTATCATTGGCCATATAGCGCCGCAGTTGCCCTTGTTGGATTAGAAATTCTATTTTCTTCTTCAATTGGATACAGTCGTCGGTGTGATGACCATGGTCTCTGTGGAAGTCACAATACTTCGTAGGATCCCTTTTTGCCGGGTCTGCTTTCATCCGGGGTGGCCACCTTAAGAACTTCTCATGTTGCACCTCATACAGTATCTGAGACACTGTAGCAGTCAGAGGAGTGAGCTGTCGGGGTGCATACCTCGGTTGTAGCTCTGGTTATGGAGGGCTGAGGCGATCCCTGACATTTCTCCTTCTCTTCGGGGAACGTTCTCTATCTCTTCTTGGAGACCTGCCTCATTCTCTTTCCTTTCTGGGACTTCGTTCTCTCTTCTTTTCTTCCTTCCCTTTATCTTTTCTCAATGAAAAGCTCCCGACCTTGGAGAGGAGCGCTTCCTCACCATTTATGTACTTTTTTGCTTTGGCAAGCACCTCCGCCATACTAGCCTGGGGGTTCTTTGAGAAGGAAAATATCAGATCTTTTGACTGAACTCCCAGACCTTAATAGCAAATTTCTCGTCTAGGACATCCACCTTCAAGGATTTTGAGTTGAACCGTTGGACATAAGACCGTAGGTTCTCATCAAGTCCCTGTTTCACATTTAACAAATGGTAGCTCGGTTTCCTATAAGGTCCGAGCTTCGATGAAGTGGGACACAAACAAGATTGACAGCTCTTTAAAAGAGGAAATCGAGGCTGGGGGAGTCTGTTAAACCATGCTAAGGCTGAGCCCTTCAGGGTGATAACAAAGGCCCTACATCTCACTGGATCTTGATATCCATGCAACTCCATTTGGTTTTTGTAGGTGTTGAGGTGGTCCACGGGATCTTTTGTCCCATCGAAAACATCCACTTGCGGCATTCTGAATTTAGGTGGGAGAGGGAAGTGCAGCACCCCAGCAGTGAATGGAGATTCGATTTGTTGCACCAAGGCATCCATAGTGACAAGGGCCTTGTTCTTCACTGCCTCCTTCATCTGGCAGAGCTCTTGTTGGATGTCTTTGAAATGTTGTTCCCAGTGGTGGTCTCTTCTCTCCTGTTGATAAGGGAAGAAATAACTCATTTTCCCTTCCTTATACTGACTTTGCACTTCCTCGTTGTGACCATTCCTAGGGGATATGTGAGGTTCTTGCCCCAAGGTCTGGTTATTCTCTCCCACCTCAGTAACTTCTCTGAGGGGGTCGAGATACGGTTGCTCCCTTGGTGATGGATTATTCTGGCCGACTTGGGCCGATCGCGCCTCCTATGGGCGCTGTAGGAGCTTTAAAAGCTCTTCGTTCTGTTTTATCAGACGTTCATTGACAAGACCAAGGGCCTCCATCTCATTATTCATGGGAAGGCCCCAAATGGGGGGATCGGCTTCTTACGCGTTTTCGGGTTGTCTGCTATTTGGGGCTTTCTGTTGATCTTGCATCCGTAGAGGATTGGTCTGACTTCTGCTCATGTTTCGCGTTGATACCATCAGTCACAAAAAAACAAAGCTTTATTTGTAACTGGAACAGTCGTTCCCACAGACGGCGTTAAATTGAAGGTGTAAACCGAATTGTATGAGTAATGAATCGTAATTATGCTTTGTAGTGATGGTGATGTGATAATGAAAAAAATATTTTTCTAGGGGCTGGGAGGATTTACACAGTAGAAGTATAGTGGTTCATCAGCTCGGGAACTCGACTAATCTACTCTTTAATGGAGACTCTTGCTCCTTGCCTTTCAATAATGATGATTACAAGAGTACAATGACTATTTTTTGCCTCTAGGGTCCCCCACAGAGGGCGCCAAACTGATGGTGTAAATCGAATTGTATGAGTAATGAATCGTAATTATGCTTTGCAGTGATGGTGATGTGATAATTAAAGAAATATTTTTCTAGGGGCTGGGAGGATTTACACAGTAGAAGTATAGTGGTTCACCAGCTCGGGAGCTTGGCTAATCCACTCTTTAATGGAGATTCTTGCTCCTTGCCTTTCAATAATGATGATTACAAAAGTACAATGACTATTTTTTGCCTCTAGGGTCCCCCCTTTTTCTTGGGGGCGTTACATAGTATTTATAAGATTGTTCTCTATTCAATGGGATCTTGGTCGAGATTCTTGTCCTTATTTCGTGGGGTTCTCCTTAATTTTAGGAGAAGATCTTGGTTGGTTGAGATTAGGTGCCTTGATTATAGTTTCCTAATGCTTTAGGAACCTCTCGTGATTATCCAGCCGTTGTCTTGCCTCAAGAGACATTCAGTCCTTGCCTTCTGACCTCAGACAATATGGCTAACCTCCCGGTCTGAGCTGAACTCCTGAGCTAACACTTGGAATTTACTTTAGGCATCATCAAATTCTCTCGGGTAGAGTTTTGGCTAGGTAACGTACAATCTAATGATGTTTACTAGTTGGTGGGTTTTGTGGATCTAAATTGGCTAATTAGTTGGATGCATTGCATTTTTAATACATGATTTTAGAGAATAGGTTTGTTGAAATGCGCAAAAAAAATAAAATATTATCAGCGTTTAAATAAACATCAAGAATAGTGTTTTCAGTTACTAGAGTCTAGCCTAATTTCACTTATTGACGTTTAAAACGCCAACAAATTTTCTGCCAACGGAATGAACGATGTTTATATTGAACGTTTTTAATAGATTATTATTTACAAAAATTTTATTATTTATCACTGTTTGGTGTTTGCCTTGGTCTTGTTTTCAATCATTTATCATTTCTATTAGTTGATGGAGCCTTGTTTAAGATCGTTGTTCCAACCAATGAAATTGTAAAACAAAGAATCATAGGGCGTGTTTGGTTAGGTTTCAAAACTGTTTTTTGTTTTCAAAATTTTAAAAATACCCAAAACTTGTTTGTTTAACTTTTTTTTTTTAATTTTTTAAAAATTCTGAGAATTGAGATATGATTTTAGAGAACAAAAAAAATGATGTTTTCATTGTTTTCTAAGGCAAAATGAAAATAAGGGAAACAACTATCTCCAAATTAATGAGGTCTCCCCTTCGAATTTCATTGGAGACAAAAATGGTGACCGGCTATTCATCATCTTCTCTTCTTCGGTTGTTCATCTTCTCCTCTTTCTCTCTCTGTCTCTGCGCAATAGATCTGTCAAATCTATGTGTGTGTGCATATATATATATATATATATATATATATACATATGTATTATGCGATGTATATGTATGTGTGTCTGTGTGTGTGTGTGTATATATGGTTCTGTGTGTTTGTTTTTGCTGGGTGAGAAGACAATGGAGAGAGAGGGAGACTTGCTAGGTGAGAAGCCGATAGGTTTGCTGGGTGAGGGAAATGGTTGCTGTGTGAGAAGATAATGGAGAGAGAGTTGCTGGGTGAGAAGCTTGACTGGAGTGACTGCCTGACTAGAGTGATAAGGTTTTTTTTTTTTTTTTTTATCACAAGTGATAAGTTAAAAATTAATTTTATGGATCATTATCCAAACAAATTTTATTATTTTTTATTTTTTAAAACTATTTTCAAAAATATATAACCAAACAGAGTTTGAGATCTAAAAATTTATAAAAATACATTCTTAAAACTCTTCTAAAAAACTGTTTTCAGATATTATTTTTTGAAACACAAACCAAACAGACCCATAGTTTCGAACACCGTTGAAGAGTCTAGGACTACCCATTGGTCCTCCAATCCTAAATTTAAATTTAATACTTATTGGCATATGTCATTTATTCACCTATCCATTAAACAAGAAAAAAATATTTGATATAACCATTACATCACATCAATATTGTCATATTTTGTAACCATCTATATAATAAAATAGCTTATAATTCAAAGTTCAAAAGATAAAAAAAATGACTTTCGTTTTTTGCAGTTCAAATCGCTTTAAATTTTACTTTAAAATTAATCTAACGGCTAATATTAACACCCTAAATTTAATATGAAAAATAAGGCCCTAAAGGTGTGTTTAAAGTGACTTTTTAAAAATACTTTTAAGAATTATTTTTCATAAGTACATTAAAAAAAAATAGTGTTGGAAACTGCATCATCACTACCTCTACCACCACCACTACCTTTACCACCGCTATCACCACCACCTTCGTCGCCGCCACTGCCACCGCTAGCACCACCGTCGTCGCCATCATTATTGCCGCCACCACCACCACGGTCATTGCCACCCACCACAACATTCACCATCTCCTACCACCACCACTGCCGCCCATCACCTTTCACCCCACTATAACCGATGCTAAAATTAATTTATCTCTCCTTATGTTTATGATTTAATTTTTGATATGAATACAAATATGTTTATTGTTTACTATTTTTTTATTATTTTCTACTTTCAAGCACAAACAATAACTAGTTCATTAATAAGTAAACAAACATGAACATTACTGACATAATATAATTGTTAGATCTAATATTTAGTTGTTAAACAGGACATAAAAAAGTGTCTAAAGACATCATATCTCTCATTCTCTTGCATATTCTGCCTTAATAAAATTTCGTGTTGTTGTTGCTTATTGAAAAACAATGAATTTCTAAACAAAAATGACAAAAAAATCATGTATTAGAACCTATTTATGTGTAAAAGCTTAACACAGTGGCTAGTGGCGACGTCCATTCACATCAGTGAAAATGCAGGACATTCTGAAGCTGCCCAATTCAAACTCTATTCCAGTCTTTTTTCTTTGTAATCGATATGACTCTGCAAACTTATTCCACCACCTTCAAGTCCCGCCATGTCATTCGTAACTTCCTTCTGGATCATCTCTCTCATCACAGACATTAGCCCTGCACTCAAAGGAAGTGTTTGACTCGTTCGAGACTTCTTCCTGAATAATTTCTCGATGTTTGGACACTCAGATGAACAGTTTACTGCGAAAGACAGAGTCAGTTCCGGCGGTGGATCGTTCAGGTCCGGCACCGGTTCTTCAAACTGCCGGAAAGATGATAGATTCAATTCAACCCAGTTGCTGAAATTTATCCATCAAAACAAGCGGAAGATGGTTTGCACTGTTAAGATCAGTTCCTGACGAAGTACTCTCAGTCTCAGGTCTAGAACCTTGCTTACCGCCGGCTTCAGCATCCTGCATGTTCGCCAGTGAGTTCTTCCTCTTCAGAGTCGAATACCAATGATTCTTGATCGCGTTATCAGTTCGACCATTAAGGAGTTTGGCAATCATCGACCACTTGTTGCCGTAATTTGTACGACCTTGCACAATGATCCCGTCCTCCGCCGGAGTGAAAGCTGTGTGGTCCACGGCCGGTGAGAGTTGATTGTACCATCGAAGCCGGCAAGACTTGCCGGACCTTCCCGGTATTGATTTGCTGATCAGAGCCCAGTTGCGAGGTCCATAACGTTGCACCAGCTTTCGCAACCACACGTCTTCTTCAGCTCCCCATTGACCCTTCTTCACTCGATCACCATCTTTCTGTGATGTCCCCCCCATTGTTGAAGATGATCCATTCTCCATGCTTAAACCCTTAAAACAATGTGTGTGTGTGTGTATGTATGTGTGTTTTGTGTGTGTGAATTCTAAACCCTAGAAGAGTGAGGCTGAAAAGGTTGGGAATGGTGTATATATAGCGCCCTAGAGAACTCAAAGAAGACAACTGGAACTTCCTCGAACCACAAGGCAGTGAATGTGCGGCCAGAA